TTCCTTCCTTCCTTCCTTCCTTCCCTCTCCCTTCTTATCTCCTTCCTTCCTTCCCTTCCTTCCCTCCCACCTTCCTTTTTTCCTTCCTTCTCTTTCTAACCTCCCTCCTCCCCTTCCTTCATTTCCTTCCTTCCTTCAGTTTCAGCACTCCCCAAGGGAAGAAGGCAGCTAGATGAGTCATATCACCCGGTCCTCACCCACGCAGGTCCGGCCAGAACCATCCAAGGTCAAGCCTTCTGGACATTCGCATCGGAAGGACCCTGCCGTGTTCACGCAGTGGCCGTTGGGGCAGACACCCGGGAAGACGTCACACTCGTTCACATCTGGTGGGGCAGAGAGAAACATTGGTCGGAGGACAGAAGCTCCTGCTGGCGGCCATGGCTGGGGCAGCCCTAGAAGACCTCCCTAGTGTTCTTCTGGAAGGGCACTATCCAGACTGCTGGGAAATCTCCTATCCGAGCAGAACTGAGCGGAGGTCCTGTCAACGCATGAGCAGTCCAACTTGAGAAGAACCTGGTTGGGATGTTCTTTGACCATTCACCGGTGGTGAAGGAGCTTTCTGACAGGTTCCACAGCAGGTTGTCTCTGAGCATCTCCACATCCTTCCTCCCGAATCTCTCAGAGACAACCAATTCCTCTTTTTCGGAGGTTGGGGTGCTCCATACCCAGCCCCTCGAGAAACAAGGCAGGGCTCACCAACCAGAGATGGAAGCTACCTTCACAAGAGAGACCCTTCCTCCTGGCGTAACCTCGTGGACAGGCGGCATCTGGAACCGAAGAGAGAAAAAGGGTAGAACCTTGTGGCATGGTGGCTTGTTGGGAGACCCAAAGGAAGGCACCCCATGGATCAGAGTCCCACTTTACCGATCTCACAGCGTTCACAGGGGCTGCCCCAGGCAGCTCCCAATGTGGCACAGCATTCGGACTTCAAGGTAGCCCCATTGATGTTGACTTCACAGCGTCCTTCTTGGATGTTGAGCCAACAGGTGCCCTTCATGCTGTCTGGGGCGTGAAAGCAGAGAGATAGGTTGGAGGGGGTGGGGTCTGCAGCAAAGAGGCATCATTGCACATGGCCAGGTGTTAGAAAAGTACATCTTGGTTCCCACTTGCTGGCGAGAAACAGTTCATCCAGCCCATCGTCTTGCACAACCAGATGAGATAATTCTATTTTACAGTAAAGATATTGCAAGGGGATTGCGCAGCAGGTGTCCCAATTGACGTCACAGATGCTGACACGAACTTGCAAGTTTATATAAATAAATATATTTTACAGCTATATTTACAGTAAATAAGATAGTCAGGCACATCACGACAACATTATGAGGTAAATCATGAGGTAAATCACGGAACAGCATACAGAGCACACAGAAGAAAAAGGCGGGAAAAAAGGGAAACTCCCCCTTTATACCCAGCAACCAATTATAACGTTGATTGCCTCATGCAGGAGCAGACAAGATAGTCAGGAACATAGGAACAACATGAGGTAAATCAAAAAGTATAAACAACACACAGAAGAAAAAAACGGGGGAAAGGGAAATTCCACCTTTACACCCACAGCAACCAGTCACAGCATAGATTGCCTCATGCATGAGCAGACAAGATAGTCAGGAACATAGGAACAACATGAGGTAAATCAAAAAGTATACAGAGCACACAGAAGAAAAAGGCGGGGGAAAAAAGGGGAACTCTCCCTTTATACTTATAACAGCCAATCATAGTGTAGATTACCTCATGCATGAGTCCTACCAATCAACTACAATTGTGTCTTCTGGCCCATTGTACACTTTTACTGTTCCGGCTACTAAATTGAACATCTTAACAGCTACAATAACAGAATCTTGCAAGTCTGAAAGGACAAACTTCCTGCCATCACTTTTAACCGCCTGATCCGTTAGGATGGGTCCTTCTTAAGTTTCTTCACCCGACCATTGAGTCACTGAGGGCTCCTGCCTCTCTTCTCTGATGGTTGCCTAGCCAGCTTCTCTTCCCTTCCTTCCTCAATACGTCATCCACATATTCCATTAAATGGGGTGACCGTTCCCTGGCACCCTCTGTCAGGTCCCTGTCAGAACGCTGCCATTCCAAAGGAAGGGGGGATGTAGTATGGGGAGTAGATAATTTGCTGCTTCGCTTTGATGTATCTGTATGGGAATTTGGGAGGTGGGAAGTGGGCCATCAGGGCCATCTGGATGGACTCCTTTCCGGCCAGTTCCAGCCTGTTACCAAGGTCGTGGTGGCCTCGGAGTTCTCATAACACCTTTGCGCCAGCAGATTGGCTCCTGACGGGGGCATCAGGGTGAGGTTGGCATATTGGGGAATTTAGCTTAATGGTTTGCACGGGAACTTCAGATTCTGCCTGACTTCCTTGCAATCACTTTCTTTCAGTAAAAGTTCTTTTGAAATAACGCTCATTTAAAGAGTCAGGCTTTCCTGAGTAGATAGCTGAGGCAAGACCTTACGCCCTCCTTTGCACACACATCCAGAGTGCAGGACCCCAGACCCTGGCTCTAAAGCCCTGCCCTATGACCATTACTGGTTCGGGCAGCTCCTTACCAACACAAATGGTGCCGCTGGGATCCAGTTTGCTTCCAGGCGAGCACTCGCAGGCAAAGGACCCAGCGTTGTTCCGGCAGATCCCGTTGACGCAGGGGCTGGAGGCACACTCGTTAATATCTAGGAGACAGAAGGAAAATGGTGCAACATACAGGCAGGGAAGGAGACAGGGTATTTGTGCTGCAGGTTGCAAGGTGTGTATTTGTGTGTGTTGGAAAAAGTCAAGATGGTCGCCACAGCTGTCTGAATAAAGCCCCTCAGGGCAACACATGTGAAAGACATCTGGAGCTTTAATGAGGCCATAGCAGCCAATATCTTGACTTTTTCATCCATCACCTGACCATTTGGACATCCTTGATTTTGGGAAAATTAATAGAATAACAGAGTTGGAAGGGACCTTAGAGGTCATCTAGTTCAACCGCCTTTTCGAGCAGGAGACCTTATCCCATTTCAGATAAATCTCTGAAGTCCAATCTCTTCTTAAAAACCTCCAGCTGCTTCAAGCAAGCTGTTCCATTGGTTAATTGTTCTCACTGTCAGGAAGTTTCTCCTTAATTCCAGGTTGCTTCTCTCTTTGGTCAGTTTCCATCCGTTGTTTCTTCTCCTGCCTTCAGGCGCTTTGGAGAAGAGCTTGACTCCCTCTTCTTTGGGGAAGCCCCTCAAATATTGGAAGACTGCTATCCTGTCACTCCTCGTCCTTCTCTTCATTAAACTAGACATACCCAATTCTAGCAACTCTTCTTCATATGTTTTAGTTTCCAGGACTTTAATCATCATCAATAGTAGTAGTAGTAGTAGTAGTAGTAGTAGTAGTAGTAGTAGTAATAATAATAGTAATAATAATAGTAATAGTAATAATAATAATAATAATAGTAGTAATAATAATAATAATAATAATAATAATAATAATAATAATAATAGTAATAGTTGGAAGGGACCTTGGAGGTCTTCTAGTCCAACCTCCTGCTCAGGCAGGAAACCCTAGACCATTTCGGACAAATAGTTGGCCAGTCTCTTCTTAAAAACTTCCTGTGTTGGAGCATACACAACTTCTGGAGGCAGGTTGTTCCACTGATTAATTGCTCTGTCAGGAATCCTTAGTTCCAGGTAGCTTCTCTCCTTGATGAGTTTCCATCCGTTGCTTCTTGTCCTGCCTTCAGGCGCTTTGGAGAATAGCTTGACTCCCTCTCCTTTGGGGCAGCCCCTGAGATACTGGAAGACTGCTATCATGTCCCCCTGGTCAGTGGTGGGATTCAGCCAGTTTGCACCAGTGCGGCAGAACCGGTAGCTAATTTTTTGTTGCCCAGGCCCAGAATGGACCTCCGGAAGCAGCATCCACACAGAGAACCGGTTGTTCACATATTTGAATCCCACCACTGCCCCTTGTCCTTCTGTTCATTAAACTAGACATGCCCAATTCCAGCAACCGTTCCTTGTATGTTTTAGCCTCCAGTCCCCTGATCATCTTTGTTGCTCTTCTCTGCACTCTTTCTAGAGTCTCAACATCTTTTTTTATATCATGGCGACCAAAACTGGATGCGGTATCCCAGGTATGGCCTTACCAAGGCCTTGTAAAGTGGTATTAACACTTCACGTGATCTTGATTCTCTCCCTCTGTTCATGCAGCCTAGCACTGTGTTGGCTTTTTTGGCAGCTGCAGCACACGGCTGGCTCATATTTAAGTGATTGTCCACTAGGACTCCGAGATCCCTCTCACAGTTACTACTATTGAGCAAGGCACCCCCTATACTATACCTGTACATTTGGTTTTTCTTGCCTAAATGTAGAACCTTACTTTTTTCACCATTGAATTTCATTTTGTTAGATAGAGCCCAATGTTCAAGTCTGTCAAGAAGAAATTAAAAGCTGGAGAGTTTGTGAGAATCTGTCCCAATTTCTTGCTTTGCGGCCACAAGCTGTTTGGGATCTACTAGATTCAACCATGCACCTTCAATGCCATAGTTTCAAGGCTTCTACCTTGATGTTTGGTATCTGCAGTTGTACCCATTCTCAGACCAAGGGAAAACAGAGACAGTTACCTTCACACGTGTCTGTCTCGGTCCGGAAGACAAACCCCTTGGGGCAGCTGCAGCTATAGCTCCCAGGCGTGTTGCGGCACAAGCCATTGTCACACAACAGGCGATTGATGGCGCACTCGTCAACATCTGGAGAGAGAAGTAAGACACCGCAGCTGACAAATGCGCTGGCAGGCACGGGGGAGAGCGACCTCTTTTCTCCATCCTCTTTTGTGCCATAAGGACTAGCCACTTTTTAAAAAAAAAAATCAAGGGAGCTTAATAGGATAGGGTAGACTAAACACACACAATGGGGTTTAATTCTTACTTTCCTCTCTTCCAGCCTCCCTACCCTTCCCATTGGGAATTAGATGGAAAACCGTAGTTTCCCACGATGTCCATTCTGCTAACAATCATCACTCACCTTCAGGGTCAAGTTTTGCAAGGCTGAAGTGCTTGATGCTCTCTGGGCTGGCTTCTTTGTTTGCAGACATTTCGTTACCCAACTAGGTTACATCATCCGTGCTAGTGTGTGTAGGGTTTGTTCCTTGTTTGTATACAATAGGTTGCCCTGCCAGTGTTGGGGGGGGGGGTGTTGTTTTCTCCTTGATAGCTTCTTGATTAGGATATTGTTTTCTGCTTGATTATTTCTTTCCCTGGTAGTTCCTCGATTAGGGTATTGTTTTCTGTTTGTTTGTCTGGTATAAATCCCTGCTTATCTGGGTGTTCTGACTTACCTGAGCAATTCTCGGTTGTTTTAACCGCAATGGCCATTTTGGGCCTGAGAAATTATGGTTCTCATCATCACTCCCTCCTAAGTACAGAGCTAATTTTATCACACCTGACCCACCACAAGACCCTCACTTGACACACCCACATCTGAAGCCCTTATGAGCAGAAGAGCACTGACACAGACGTCCCCTAAGCTTTGCTGAAGATGTTGCCTAGCCTGGTAACGAAACGTTCGGAAAACAACCCACAAGCTCGGAGAAAGAAACTTCACCTTCATCCGACACCCGAGCGACAGATATTCAGCACTATTGCACAGAATAACAAAGTTGGGAGGGACCTTGAAGGTCTTCTAGTCCAACCCTCTGCTTGAACAGGAAACCCTATATCATTTCAAACGGATCCTTGCTTCAAAACTTCCAGTACTGGAGCATCCACAACTTCTGAAGGCAAGTTGTTCCACCAATTCATTGTTCTAACCGTCAGGAAATTTCTCCTTAATTCCCGGTTGCTTCTCTCCTTGATTAGTTTCCATCTGTTGCTTCTTGTCCTGCCCTCTGGTGCTTTGGAGAAGAGGTGGACCCCTCCCCCTTCTTTGTGGCAGCTCCTCAAATATTGGAAGACTGCTATCATGTCACCCTTAGGCCTTCTTTTCTCTAGACTGCCTATACCCAATTCCTGCAACTGTTCTTCTAGAATATAATAGAATAGAATGCAGAATAGAATGCAGAATAGAATAGAATAGAATAGAATAGAATAGAATATGGAATAAATGGAATGGAACAGAACAGAACAGAACAGAACAGAACAGAAGGATGGAATGGAGTGGAGTGGGGTGGGGTGAAGTGGAATGGAGTGGAGTGGAGTGGAGTAGAGTAGAGTAGAGTAGAGTAGAGTAGAGTAGAGTAGAATAACACAGTTGGAAGGGACCTTGGAGGTCATTTAGTCCAACCCCCTGCTCGGGCTCTTCTTCGCACTCTTTCCAGAGTCCACAGTTTTCAGCCCAGCCTTACAGTCTCGCCACCTGCCCTCTGCTGAAAGGCCAGCCTCAGTGTGCTGGTCCCAGACAGCACCCACCTGTTTTCAGTCTGCTCCATTCTTACTCACCCACACAGTTCTTCCCAGTGGGGTCCGATTCGTAGCCCAGATTGCAAATGCAGCGATAGCTCCCTCGGAGGTTTTCGCACATGCCGTTGGGGCAGATGTCCGGGTTCAAGGCGCACTCGTTAATATCTGTGCGGGAGAATCTTAACCTCAGCCCCTCTCCTCAACGTTCCCCCCCACCCCCGTTTGTTCTCTGTTTTTTTCCTCAGCCTTGACAGCTTGAAGGTGTCTGGATTTCAACTCCCAGAATCCCCCAGCCGGCACGGAAACGCTAATGCCAGAGGACTGAGGGAGAGAGGCCTAATAACCAAATACAGCTAATCCTCATCTTACAATGGTTCACTAAGTGACCGTTCAAAGGTACAACGGAATGAAGGGAGACCTATCTGATGATATAGAGGGCTCTGTTATGGAAACCCGCTTGGCATAAAAAGAAAGCCAGAGTCAGGTTTAAAAATGGGATTTAAAATTGCACTTGATGGGTTAAAAAGGGTTTTTTTTAGAGACATTGATTGATCTAATATTTAGGACTTAGATTTATAATGGAGATGAAAACTAATCTAATCTGTTTATTACAGCCGTAAGCCCAGACGTAATCAAAATGTATAGAGATGAAAACTAATTGTTAGATTATAGTTTGGAATTGTAATATGGAAAAGGTTTTGAGATAATGGAAGTTACTATATTAGTGAATGAGGTGTTATTAGGACATGAAATATACATGTGAAATAGAGTAAGAATGTAATTTTTGGAATAACATGTCTATTTTAGATATGATAATCTCTTTGTAATGGAATGAGAATACGGAAATGGATTGTGACATGGTCTCAGTAAATGAGGAGCTATTAGGACAAGAAATAGAATATACTTGGGAAAAATAAGAATGTAACTTTTGGAACAATATGTTTATTTTAGATATCATAATTATTATGTTATGAAATGAGGGAAATTAGGGTTACCCGAAGTGTAACCAGTATGCTTATTTAAGGCTAAACTGGAATATGGTAATTGGAATCAAGTAAAGCTTAAAAACAGGACTTGGATTTGTATAAGTAAAATGGTATTGATAAATGTATTGATTGATTGAGCTCTATTTAGAAATCTACCGGTATTAACTTGAATATGTCATATTAATTAAGGGAAATAGAGAGGAAACCTTTAAGGAGTTAACCTGAGGTATATACAGTATGTATGACTTTGTTGCTACTACTACTACTACTACTACAATAATAAAGTTGGAAGGGACCTTGGAGGTCATCTAGTCCAACCCCCTGCTCAGACATTTCAGACAAATGGCTGTCCAGATTACCCTATCACCACGTTGTTTCCTAAGCACTTGGATGTAAAAATTGAAAAATTAATAAAACTTGTGGGTTTTTTTTTAAAAAAAAGGTACAACAGCTCTCTCGTGTCCTCCTGACCAGCAAAGTCAATGGGGATCGACTTAACGACCTTGTTAGCCATGGAAGAACTGCGGCGATTCACTTAACAACCGAGGCAAGGAAGGTCGCAAGATCGGGGGGGAAGGGCAAAACCCGCTTAGCAAATGTCTCGCTTAGCCACAGGGAAAAAAATTTTTTTGGGGGGGGCTCCGTCGTGATCGTCATCTGAGGACTAAGCTGCGCGTTCCGACTTTCCTGACAGGACGTAATAATCCTACTCAATGTCAAAATATACAGAGGTGGAAAGAATGCGGGGACAGATCGTTGGAGAAATGAATGAAGGCGAAATACCCCTTAGGGTTAAAACAGTAGGAAGATTAGAAGCCTTCCGTTGGAAGGGGTCCCCCCCTGAGGTCATCTAGTCCAACCCCCCCCTGCACAGGGCAGGAATCTATATTAAAGTATCTCTCTGGCAACCAGTCGTTCAGCTTCCATTTGGACACATCTAATGAAAGCTCTCCGCTAGACGTTTCCCCTTAAATCAGGGGTAGGCAACCTTGGCTCTTTTATGACTCGTGGACTTCCAGAATTCCTCAGCCAGCATGGGGAAACTATAGCCCCCTTCATGACTTGTGGACTTCAATTCCCAGAATTCCTGAGCCAGCATGAGGGAAACTATGGCCCCCTCATGACTCATGGACTTCAACTCCCAGAATTCCTGAGCCAGCATGGGGGAAACTATGGCCCCCTCATGACTCGTGGACTTCAACTCCCAGAATTCCTGAGCCAGCATCGGGGGAACTACGGCCCCCTCATGACTTGTGGACTTCAACTCCCAGAATTCCTGAGCCAGATGGGGGAACTATGGCCCCCTCATGACTGGTGGACTTCAACTCCCAGAATTCCTGACCCAGCATGGCTCAGCTTGGAAACCTCTCCCTTTCCCCTCAGCATGGCTGGCTCAGGAATTCTGGGAGTTGAAGTCCAGGAGTCACAAAAGAGCCAAGGTTGCCTACCCCTGCCTTAAATTGTGCGTACTAATAGAAGGTTTTTCCCCCCCCCTCTAATATTCCACAAGAATCTGCCTGAAAACCCATAGTAAGTATTGAGAACTTGCCTCGTCCATCCGCTGTGATGCCTATCCCGCTGCTGCACAACGCTTGGAATTCAGCTGGAGAGGAGAGAGAGAAAAAAAATCAAACATTTGCCGTTTGGGAAAGCGACATCAAGAGACGATCTAGCACAAACTGAACATGTTAATATGGCAGGTGAAATATCCTCGTTGCTTGCAAACATTAACGCGCAACGTGCCCTCCGCAGAAGCGTGTTTGTTTTTTTAAAAAAATGAGAAGCTTTCTCAAATATTTTCCTAACTAGCGAAAAAGAATTAGGTATAAATTACAATGTGTGTGTGTTCGTACAAGTTGATCCCGTACATTTTTTCACAGTGGGGAAAGTTAGGTAGTGGCACTGCAGAAGATTGCTGAATTTCGAGGATGTAGATGTAGATTCTAGACAATTCTAGAAGTTTGCAGTTCCAATGGAACTGTGTAGTTCAGGGTGGAACTGTGGAGTCCCTGGTGCTCGCTGAACTTGAATGTTTTCTCGCAGACTTTTCGTTACCCAACTATGTAACACCATCAGGACTAGAAGGGGGGTTGTGGAGAGGAGGAGGAGGAGGAGCAGCAGCAGGAGGAGCAGAAGGAGGAGGAGGAGGAAGAGGAGGAGATG